TGGATTGGCCAGTGGAGCTTGCCGTTGGGGGGGGGGGGGTCACTGCTGGCGATTCCGGGCCGACCTGCTGATATTTACAGCGGTGGAAAAGGCCCGAGCGGGGAGGAGGGAGGGAGGGGGGTATTTCTTTTTTAACATCGGCCAATGTTATGCTTGTCATGCTTCGAATTGAGAGACACAGAAACCCAATTAGGCCCTACCCGACAAATTCCTAGATCCTTAGTTTCAATTCCCAGAGATTCCCATGCTGTAGTAAGTGAAAGCATTCCTTCAGGTAGGTGGAGAAACATTGTACTACCAACTGCTCCCGGGGAAGCTTCCTGGCATGCACATGGGACCTCAGGGCGCTAGTGGAATATTGCCAACGATAACAGCCTGTTAGCGCCTTATACAATGGAAACAATCAGTTACACTAATTGATTAAATGCTAAAATAAACAATCCTGATCATTAGTTTTAGCTTCAATAACTGTTCTTATTGCGCGTGAATAAAATAAAAGCGCCTTTAAAGGAGATCAGTTACTTTCTTACTAGTCTCACACTGTAATCTTTAAACAGTAGTTGGTGTAAAGAAGCTGTTTTCCTTTTCTGCTTTGTCCCACCTCCCTTTGAACCCGATACCCTGTGACGGACAGTGTGTTGTTTCAAGGACTCGGTCTTCTCGTGCACCTGCTGTAGACATGTGATGTAATGAAGTGTCAAGGAGTCAGGCGGCCTGTGAAGGCCGGACCTCACAGAGTGCGGCGCGCTAACGGGCCGGGAGCAGGTAACTGTTTATGGAGTGCCCGCTGTTTACTGTCTGCGTGATGTCTGGGGCCCACTTGCTCTCCAAACAAGGCTTGGGGTAAGACACCGAGGAGCCCGGCAATGCTGTGTTTGTTCGGACAGGGGGGGGAGGAATTAGTGTTTGGAGATTGTTTCCTGACCACAATTCAACAACAATTCCACCTGTTTGTAACAGTAAGCTCTTAATATTTTTCTGGCCTTGTGCTCGGTGACTGAAGACTCTGTGGGACGGACATAAAGGGGCCAAATTTCCTTTTGTGGGCGTAGCACTCGGGCCGATGTCCGAGTCACCACAGAGACCCACTTGTCACTATCCTGGAATGAGGTAGACGGATACACATAAAAAGTAATTTGCTGGTGCGGCTGTGAATACCTCGGGTAATACCAGCGGGGGGGGGACGGGAGGGGTGTGAGGAGGAGGAGGAGGAGGAGGAGGAGGATGATGCTGCTGGTGGTGGTGGGGAATCGTGGCCTCCCTGGCCTTTCGGTAAAGCCCTGCAGCTGTTTCCCAGGCCGCCCAGCGCTGCCCGGGCTTGTTTCATGTCAAGTGGATCGCGTGTGACAGGCCAGTTGATTACCTGTGATTACCTGTTATCAGTGGGGGGGTGGGGGGCGCTGTAACCTCTGTCAGGCCACCTGAAGATTTGGATTAGATCGGCCATTTACCGCACCAGACACACAATGGGCTTCGCGAGACACAATGGGGAGCCCCCCCCCCCCCCCCCCCCCACACACACACACACACAATACCAAACAACAATAAAAGCAAGGACATTCATTTCAAAGGGCAATTGTTCGAGCTTGTGACACCTCAAGTTCTATGTCTTAGGAATCAAAAAAATCACCTGTTGATACATTCGGAGTGGTGTGTCCCTTTTGGGGAATCAAAATGATTGTTTTTATTAAAAGAAATTTACTCATTGTTGTTTCAGTGAGAGTTAGTTACAGGTCAATCGACCATATTGCCACTTAATTAGCCAGTTAAGTGTCAAACATTTGTCTGTTCTACTGTATTTCTGTGTCGTAAACGCAATCGCAAACGTGCTTTGAATTCCTAAAAGCGAACAAGGTCGGGATGTTGCAGAGAGCTGGGACACCGGCTCATCCCACCACTGTAAGAAAGACGAGGCAGCCTTGAGCCGCGTTGACGTAGTGGAAAGGGGGGGGGTTAGTCCTCCTTTAAACAATATGGCCCGACTCAACAATGGCAACAAACGACACAATTGGCCGCAAATTTCTAGTGGGCTTTTTGATGCCATTGTTGGAACAAACCACCCACCACTTTTTTTTTTTTTTTTACCAGCTCTCTGGGCTCTGAGCATGGATCCCCCATACTATTAAAAGGGCAACAATGGTGATCAGTATGAGCTGTCACACAAAACTGACCCTGTTTTGACAACTTTATTCCTCTTTCTGATTGTTAAATTAAAGTCCTTTTGTTTTGGGGGTGAGGAATTATCATTGATCTAATTAGTAGCCTAATTGCGGTGCTAAATGTGGATGTTTTGTCCTATGCACACTCTTTGACTAAAAGGTAACCATAATATGAAAAACAATTAATTATATTTTTGGGCATCGCAATGCTATAGTTCTTTTGAGCTGTTGCCACATTCGATGAGATAGATAATGTTTTCAACAGCTCAATTAGCTGCTCTCGTTCGTATGATGGACACGCTCTCGGTTTGTTTTGACTGAGCACAGTGGATCCTTCTAACAGCTGCACTTGGATGACAGTAAACAAAGAATACAGCCGTTACCAATACATGAAAAATTCCCTCACCGGCTTCAGTTACGCTGTCTTTGTTGCCACAACATCACAGCTATTTATGTTCCTCACACTTCCAAGCCCGTCGCTTCTCTGAAGAACAAAGTAGTCTAATTGAACCCTTCCCCTTCTTAAAGGAAGGGGAAATGGGGGAACCTATGCAACATAACTGCTGTGATTCAATAGCAGCACCAGCAGCAACGCTCTAATAAGGGGACATTCTCAAGTGTGGACCTTGTTAGGACCGGCTCTCATATGCTGATTGAGGAACAACCCGTGTCTTTGATAAGAAAATCTTCAAACGCTGAGCTAACCTGAAATACCTCAATGACCACAACTATGGGATAAAGGTTAAAAGGAAGGGGAGGGTACTTAATAAAGGCCCATTGTCATTGTCAGTAGGGAGGGGTACCCTGAATTGTGTGTGTGTGTGTGTGGCAGGTTCAGGGACCTCTTGCCCTGGGGGCTTGGAGCGAGTTAGCCCCCCTCCCCACACTCTACAGGACACTTTGGCGCTAATCTTGGGGGTTGGGGGCTAGTGGGGGAGATTAGTTGGCTTCTAATCAGCATGGTTGGCTCTGGTTTTTGTCTTGTGTCCTCATCATTTCGTCCCTATTTTGAAGAATCTTCAAGTCTTCTTCGGGTTATGTTCCCTAAGGAAACGTGATTGTCAAAATCTTTTCTTGCAGAGTACCGTATGTATATTATTTTCTGTCTTTCCTGCTGTTCCCTTGAAATCGTGTCACAGATGGCAAGAGCTCTTGTCTCAGATGGGGATTGTGAAGAGAGAGAGAGCTTTTGAGGAAGGGAGGAGTAAAATAGGCACTATTTTTTATATATATATATATATATATATATATATATAATTACACACACACACACACACACAGCCTCATTTTCACACCCTCTGTAATTCCTTTAAACGTTCCAATAAATTCGTTCTCTCATCTCATGGTACCGCCTGGGAGGGGGGGGGGGGGGGACGGTCTTGATGAAAAACAGACCACTTCCAGACGTTGTTCCTGCTACTTCCAAAACAGTGAGTTAGACATGAACTCATCAAGTGTCTGGTGCCAACCTGCAGAGGCTCTGCTGATTGGCCGGCATCAGATTGGGACAAAGACCATCTTCCTCCCCTGATTTCATGGGGCCTTTATTTTCCTGCACGCACTTAATTGCCAGTGTGTAAGACACACATTGCAACACAGTTGCACCTTTTCTAAGCAGAATGAAAATAACTGAATTGATCTAAAAGCACACCGTACACTATGTTCCTCCTCAAGTGTCGTCTTCAGAACCCTCAGTGGTAACGTAGAAAAATGCAATATCTTCGTCAGCCTCTTTTTTTTTTTTCTCCATACTTTCCCCTGGTTGCCGCAGACAGAAACAGCATGCTTGCATAAAAGCTCCCATGTGTGGCACTCCATTAGCCTCTAAAAGGTTATTTCTTCATCCTACGTTGGTACCAGGGCCTTTTTTATTGTTTTATACATAAAGTTAGGCTGAGACGCCACAGTTAAACGTATTCGGCAGTAAAAGGGAGTTAATGAAGATCACATTTAGCTGTAACTCGTGACTCCACCTCTACTTCTACTCAAGGAGGTTGAAAGACACCGTGGCTTTCGCATACATACACTTTGTGGCTTTTATGTTAACGGGGATGTTTCTCTGAAGTACACGTTTAACAGGCGACCCCCCCCCCCCCCCTCGCAAGCACAACACCACAAAAAAAACGTATTTATCAACCCCACCTGTGTGAGAATGCAATAACTGACTACACAGTGGGGCCTGCATAGACGAAGGCCTTTTCCGTTGTACGTGGTGTCACTGTCTTCCTGGAGGAAGCAGAAAAGACGTTTCATCACAGTAATCTTATGCCGCAACACCTGAATGAGTCACCATCTCTCAACAACAACCGTCTTCCCCTTTATGTCTGGAGTCCCAAACGTGCACACAGACTGCACAGGCGCACGGTATCAGTTGGCCTGAGGGAAACTGGGTTCAATAAAAAATGCCATGTAAGTTTCAGGATTGCAAAAAGTGTGGCTCGTACAAAAGGAATGCGAGGAATGAATTTAATTCCTGCTAACCTGTGACTCATAATGTAGTGTGATAGATGAAGATGTGTGATTGCAAATCGTGCACGGTAGTTGTGTTTAAGATCCAATGGCAATTTTGTTTCGTCGCGGCGTCAACGTGACTTTACCTGACGACCTGCATGCTTGCCTCTTCTCTCCTTTTCCTCCAGAGAACCTGGAAGGTCTTCAGGTGCTGGTGCAGGAACGTTTGGCAGAGTTACTCCGGGTCCTCAAGGCCATCATCGGCCAACACCAGACCCTCAACTCCGCGGACATCCTGGGAGCAGCCGGCACGGTCATTGCCAAGGTGAAAGGTCAGTAAATACTCACAGTACAATGCTTACATATCTGAGCAGGAATGGCCCTTCTTGCAGACTAGATTTGGGAAATGCCCAGTAAGCAATGCTCTGTCGTTCGGTTCCTGGTCAGAGTTGGCTTGGAGGTTTGTTTCTGAAAGGTCATTGCATTAGGAATTATTACTCTTTCAGCAGTCGATCTCTATCCGGTTCCCTTCATGAATACAACAGAATCTCAACCCACAAAGTCTGGTTAGAAATGTGATCCTCTGCAAGCCAATCAAACTTGCACACCGGAATCTCTACGGCCGTAATTTGCATTCCATATCTCAGCGGCCGCGGAGGCTCCCGGCGGGCTGCTCGCCGCTCAAGCACATCTCCGTCTTCATTCTTTTCCAAGTTTCATAAGGTGTGTGCCAGCTTACCTATGCTATCTGAATATCTCGAGTAGTGACCTACTCGTCAGGAATGCTTAGGAATGTCTGACTTTGTGGTCGGCTGAGTAGTACTTTGACAATGTTTACAATGCACATAGCAAACAGAGGAGATGTCACAGCGCAGCACGTCTGCTGCTCAGTGTGCCATTGTTCCTATTTCCACGGGAAAGCCCTGTCTCATCGAGTTGACAAGTTGAAATTTGGAAAATGTGCCTGTCCACAAGGGGGGGGGCTCACATCAACGCACATCCCGGCTGGACTGTCCCTAATGGCCAGCAGGTAACACAATATCGCCGCAGACAGCGAGCCAGAGGAGGACTCAAAAGGAGAGGCCCGAAAGAGGAATGAATCCGCGAGACATCGGAGATGAGGACTCAAGGGTTGGGATGATAACAGGCCTCGTGCGCCCCAGTGTCTTTAAAGTGTGTCGTCTCTTCGCCCATGTTGCTCTTTGATGCTCGTGACACCTGGGGCGATTGGAACTGCGGGAATTTACTGGAAAGAAAACCAACCTCCCTCCCCAAGCAAATAGTTGTCTAACCAGTTTCAAATGGCATTTATACATCAGTCATTTTGTGTTTACTACTGGTAGCTGAACTTACCTGCCGACATGGAAAATGTAGGTATATTAAATATGACTAATAATATCAACAGGGATTTGGGTAAAGCGCTAGAGCTGGTGTTGGCAAGTAAAACGGATTGTAAATTGTCTTCTGTAATACTCATTTTATTTTGCTAGACCTACATTTGATAAGATCACATTTGAACACACCATGTAAACATTGCAATCATTTTCTTCCCATGTTTGGAGCGTCAGATAACGACTGTCAGCTCTGGTATGAGCAGGACTGTAGTAGGGAGAGAGCCCTGGTCCATCCATGCAGCACGCATGGGAGTGTCTTATGAAATAATTGTTTTATGTTTTTGATATATTAGATGTCCCTTCTGCACCCGTCTGACACTTCTGCATGTTATTACAATTATTATTATTGATTTTTAGTTTTCTTTTATGTTTTAGTGTTAAGCTCAGCACATAATTTAAGGAATGTCAAAGTTAGTAGATAGTAGTAAAATAAGAATTTTAGCTAATGATTGCGGTTACGCACTTACGACTCAACCGTGTGAAAACAATGGCTCCTGCACTTGAATGATGCAGTTTCCATATTTCAATTGTGACAGGGGAGGTGGGGGGGTTCTGGAATCATTGTTTTGAGACCCACAGGATGTCCTGAGGAAGAAAGAAGTCAGCGCAGAGCTGTACGCTAGCATTCATGGCCAGGGAGGTGCACGACAGGGAGGCTTTTGCCTCTCTGTCTCCCCTCTCTTCGTGTCCTCAGAAGTTTCTCTGGATTGCGGGTTTTCCTCCTCATCGCAGCATGCCAAATTTGCTCTGATGAAGAGAAAATGGAGGCAGAAAAACCGACTGGAAAAGGGAACTTTGTGTAGCTTATTATTTCTGGTACCGGTTACAAGACAACGGCAGCCTGTGACGGGGGAAAAGGTAAGCGTCGTGACAGTAGTGTTCAGTAAGTCACAGAACTCAAGCTGTGTGAGTGTTTCCTGTTGCGGGCAGACAGGAAGTACTCTGCTTGGTTGGATTTTACTGGGTCTCTGCAAACGTATTCTTGCTGAGCAAACTGCTCCGTTATGGCGAAAGGTCTGTGCAGACATTATCGAAGATTTCTGCGACTTTGATGGCCTGGTTCTATGCTAAGTAGACGTTTCCAATACCGCCTTATCCGTGCATTATCAACGTGGAAGCCTGCTTATGGGATCCTAACACACTGCAAACAAAGAGGGAGACTTTTGAATCGTTTCTGAATGTTCCTTGAACAACCATCCTTAAAGATCCTCAAATGCATCCAGAAGAAGACCTTTTCTCATTGGATGGGAGGACACAGAGGGAGCATGTCATTGCCCGTAGACTATTTCTGCACTAATGGTTGTCGGTTCTTAAGCTGTTTTCATAGTCGTCTTTACAACCCTTGACCCTGTGTAACCACACCCTGAGTAAACCTTTTGTCTGTCGTCGAGGAGAATGTCACACCTATTTGAGACAACTTCAGCCCTGTATAATAAAATCATTTAACACTGGCTTCTGTTACTGCTTGTTATAGAAAAAGTAGCAATGCTCTGATGCCAATCGCATGAAGTAACTGCATTTAAATGGTTTTGATCTATTGTCCCTGTGTATTCTTTAATTGTTAGGACCTCATCACTTGGCCTCACCGCCGCTCATGTGTGAATATAGTTGTTGAATGATCGAGTATGCGTGTGTGTTTTATTCCTCTCCACAGCTGTCAACTTCAAGGAAGAGAACCAAGAATACACAAAAGCTATATTTGGCGAGATACACGCATCCATCGACAATTTGGCATTCACGTTCGGCAATGTGTGAGTACAATGCTTGTATAGCTCTGCTGTCACCAGCCAATCTTCAATCTTTAGTTCCTTCCCAAGTCCTCTGTATATAGATCTTTTGAATTGTAAATCTGCTTTTTGTTTCTTAATGGAAGCCATCTCCTAAAGCGCAGATAGTTTTTACATCTACATTTACACATCTTCCCCTCAGAGTTTCTGACTTCCTTATGGGAGATGTGGACAGTGGCTCAGGGTTGGGGATCCCCCAGACCAGGAGAAGCAGGGTGAGATGCAGGTTTTCTTTCCCAGCTTTGGGGCCAGTTATCTTGCTTCTTCTTCTTTTCATTAGTTTTTCAAAAAGGTGCATTTAAAGCAGCAATTTTACCTCTCCTCCATTTAAAAAAGCCTCTAAGACATGCTTTTGGTACTTAATTGGGGTGTTGAAAATCCTGCTGCTTCTGATGTCTGACTTTGATTGCACGTCTGCTATTGCGTCCTTATAATCTGAAATGTCCTTTTCACAGTCTTTTGACAATATCTGCGTGGATCCTGAGGGATACGCTTCAGAGAAAAATGACCTTGTGGGTAAGTGTTATTCACATTCTCTTAATTACTTCTGAGCGACGTGGGTGTGAAATAAATGGATCACAAAGTGTAATGGCTATTAATGGCTCCGTTTTTAAAAAGCGATGTAATGGTCAGTTCGTAGCTCCCCCCCTCCCTCCGGGGTGTCCGAGAGTGTCAGCTTGCGATTTGGCCGAGTGGTTAAGGCGCTGGACTCTTGAATGCCTGAGGTGGACCCACCCTAAGCCGCTGCTTCCACCCCTGTTATTTCTGCTGCTTTTTTCATACTAGCTGCTCGTTTTCCCCTCTCTGGCCACATATCTGACATTCCTTGCCTGTTTCGGAGTAGTTCCGTGTGGGATGGGAAACACATGGGGTTTGTGTTAAATCAGATGGCGAGCGGCCGAGAGAGATGCGCATCACAGGGGGACCACTAAGGGAACATTATGCCGTCGGACTATTTGAAAAGATGCCCGGCACTTTCATATCCTCCTACGCTGTGCACTTTTAACCTGGACGTGTTTTTCCATTTACCTCCCACACATGTCTGTTGGAATAGTAGATCTGAGACACATAAATCCAACGCTTTGCGATATTGTCGGCGCCAGGTGTTTTGATTTAGTTTGACTTGAGATGCGTCTCTCCTCTGCTCACTCTCCAGGCCCGGCGGTGTCGCTCACGCGGGAGGAAGAAGTCGACCTGACCCTCCTGAAGAATGACAGCGGTGTGGAGTCGGCTCTTCTCTATGCCAAAGCCTGGTCCAAATATATCAAAGACCTTCTGGCCTGGATGGAGAAGCGGCTGGCCATGGGTGAGACACTGACAGTGTGCTGGGTTTATTGCATTAGGGCGTTATCCGAGATAATATGGAGGAGAATGTTATTGATCGCTTCTTAACGGAAGGAAATGCACCCTATTCTGTGTTGCAGTGCACTTTTGAAAAAGAAATAGATATTATGTAAATTCTATTTGCCCTGGACGACTGAAGCAACATTTTGCAAATGGACCGCTGCGTCACTTTAAGTCTTTTTACTGCTAATTGAGGTTAGGGTCCAGAAGCGGCAGAACACTTTTAAGGTACTTAACAGTCATTTATTCGTAGCAATGTGGTCGTCAATCAGACACCTCGGCTCAGCCGGTCGGAAATAAAGGCTTTACTCCATTTATATCAGGAGGTAACTTTGTTGAAACTGCAGAGATGGTGTTCCAAGAAACATTTAACTGCTATGCTCAGGGATATGAAAGTTATTACAGAAAACTGAACAACAACAGCTGTCTGTCTGTTTGATATGCCTTGCTTCTACCATGCATGCGTACTCCCAATATTACCCTAGTCTATGTATGCACACGGTTAGGCTGACCGTATCAACCAACTAGTTTGCTTAACAGCTTATACTTTGTATAGTTTGGGATCCCAAAGGTCTTGATAATATACTGTATATTAATTGATAATCTATATCTATTGTTTGCCTTACTGTTCATAGTAACATCCACTCAGCCCCCCCTCTTCATTATATTCAAGCAAGGTATATTTAAAATACTGCAATGTAATGTAAGCATAAAGAGTTTCACCAGGGAAATTTTAGAAAAGCATTACATAATTACACTGAAAACACATATACTTCAATTATTCTCTAAACATACTTTTAGATCATTAGTTGAGCGCGATTACAGTCATAAATAATTCCTTTTGGGTTTTTCAAATTTCTTCTCTTTCAGATATTGAGTATGCCAAAAGCTATGCAAAAATGGCTGATTCTGCTAAGCAGCTGGCTAGCCAACAGGTAACACAAGAGCCGTTAACTATCTATATGTATAATTATTATTATAGAAGTGTTACCTCCTTTCTTTGTTCACATAAACATTCTTATGGAACCATTTTCCCAATGTTAATTTCTTTATATCTGTTCTCCAAGGTATATATGCCATTCAGCGAAGTCTACATTTCTACATTCAAGAACGACATTGAATCCAATCAGCTGCTAATTCAAACCGCAATGGCTCTGCAGACGAATAAATTCATACAGGTAAGAAGAATGAGGCGACTGTGGCCCACACAGCAGACACGTTGCCTTGGGTGGGATCGCCTCAGTGTAACTGTTGACCTTTTCCTCTCCTCTCAGCCTCTTCTGGCCCGTAAAAGTGAGCTCGACAAGTTGAGAAAAGACCTCAAGGAGCAGTGGCAGAGGGAACAAAAAAAAATGGTATGTAATGCACACTAGTAGATGCACGCTTTGAGGATTATATCATTGCAGCTTGTTACTTCCCATCCGAGATTTAGTACGCGTGTGGTTATATTGACGATAACGGAGCACGCAATGTCCCATTTTGATCACATGGGCCTCTGTGTTTAATCTGTGTGGTTTTGGCAGCAAGAGGCAGATGCAACCGTGCGCAAGGCGCGAGTACTGAAGGGCCAGAGGAGAGAGGAGTACCAGAAAGCCCGTTCATCCACCAACCGCTCCCAGGAGGAGCAGTCGAATACTGCTAACAAACAGCTGGAGAAGAAGAGGAAGCTGGAGGAGGACGCCCTGCAGAAGGTGGCCATGGGAGAAGATATGGGGAAATAAATGAATGAATTGGCATATCTTAACATTACTTAATAGGGGCGGTCTGCCACGCAAAGACAATTCATATCAACATGTTTTTCTGTCTATGCGGCGGTGCGCTACTCGGGAATTCCCGCACACCCGTCGCACTTGGTCTTTTTATCTATACTTCATCCACATCCTCATGCTACTCTCGTCTTTCATTGGTGTGATCAGGCGGAAGAAGCCCGGGACCAGTACCAAAGCTGTATGGCTGACGCAGGCGTCAGGAGAATGGATCTGGCCAATGCCAAGAGCACCATCCTCACACAAATCCGAGAGATGGTCTTCCAGTGTGACCTCACACTAAAAGCTGTGAGTTCACAGGGCATAATATCAGCGTTTAGCAATAAGAAATGTTGTTCTTATATGGAAATCTCATAACTATAATACAAGATTGATAGTAAACAGCTTCAATTAAACACAACCATCTTTCAATTGAATTAGGACTAAACTTAATGTTACTATTTTGCTATGGGTAGATAAATTGCTACGGGTAGATAAATGTTTATGATGATTTTTTTTCGTGGTTTGCATATTTCTAGGTGAATACATTGAGCAAAATGAAAAAAATCAAATACTTTGTGTACCTTTTTTAATACCTGGCCAAAAAAGCTAAATCCCATGCTTGTAAATGGTTTGTTGACACGATATAAAGCTAATTTCATTTAAAATGATTTAAGTTAAAGTTAAGTTAAACAGTAGACTTTCTACGGGGGTTCTATGGGAAGTTCATATGATCAAAAAAAGGCTAATTCGGGCCGGTACCCTAACATGCTACTTGTGCTACATGCTGTGCTTCATGTGTTTCACAACCTTTTCACAAAAATGTATTCTAGATTGCTAGAATTTTTTAGATAAAATAGAAGGTCTGTAAAAAAAATGTGTACAGATGAGTTCAAGGCATGAAAAACATTCATTCCGAACCAACCCAGTTGTCGTGTCATCCATTTGAATCAACTTTAAGTGATGTGTCATTCCCCAGGTGACAGTGAACTGGTTTCAGATGCAGCAGGTGCAGAGCACCTCGTTCCCCACCCACTACCAGGCCCTCAGCGAGAGTACCAAGTTGTACGAACCGGGAGAATGTTACGCTGAGTTCGTCCGGAATCTGCCAAGAAATCTGCCTAAAGAACGTGTGCACTTAGACTCGACCTCCTCTGACAATACCAGGTACCAAGTACTGTTTATACAAACATGTTTTATTTATAAAAGTCTGCTTGCTACAATTCTTTACTACATGTAGTTGAAACCATACAGGGCAGGGTGCTGCACGTAAAAGCAGTCAATGTTAAATGAGCCCAGCTGAGGCCACATTTGCATTATTTGAGTGTTATAATGAATTCCAAATTCATTTGGAAATGGTTCATACTCCTGGTTCTCGTTCCAGCAAAGCTATCAGTGAGTCAGAGTCAGGAAACCAGAGAGAGAAAGAGAGAATCAAGGAGAGACGGAATGCGTGTTGAATTTGTTTGTTTCCTCAGGAAATATCTGTGGCGTAGGCTGAATGCAGCAGGGGAGATTGTGAGCGTGAGAGTTTGGCTCTGGGTTTGATCTGTCGCTAAGACTCTACTTAGATTGCGAAAGCCCCCTTCACACACACACACACACACACACACACACATTACCAGTAATAAAATAAGCAAAGTTTCACTGTTTTTAATGGTAAGATAATTATGTGGCTGTTGTAGCTCTACAAGGTACAATGAAGTCTAAACCAAGTGTTGACACTGATTGAAAAACACTTTGTGGCTAACGATGTAAATGTAGTTTGCACTGTGAAGCCCCTGGCGTGTGCGTTTGACTTACCAGAATGCGTTTCAGCGGCCTGAGTTCAGTTTCTGTTCCTAATCCTCTCTTTCCTACTTAGTCACAGTTAAAGCCCAACTTCCCTTACTGAAATTCTTTGAAATGTCTCATAACAAATAAAGTGGGCTTTGTTGGGTCTCCAGAGCTGTGAGCCTGTAATGGACAAATCTACACCCGGATACATGTTTTTTTTCCAATTGAATGAATTTGCTATTTAATACAGCAGAGCTCATACATGTGTGTTGTGAGGAAGTCGTTTCATTTTCCTAAGTACATCCTTTCCTATTCATTACAAGTTCTCAGTTCCTGGGGATAGAAATTGTTGAGTTACTGGACAATAATCGTGTCAAATTCCCTCAGAGAACATGTGTCTGTGTGGATTAATAATACAGGATAATGTCAATCCTTACCAATCGTAACCTTAAATGGAAATTACTTCATTTCCCCAGGTTTGTGTTCAACAAAAGGTCTGTGGGCAGCACCCATTCCTCCCACGGCAACTTGTCTCAGGCATCCATCGCCTCCTGTGACGTGTTGAGCGGCGACGAAGCGGACAGTCCCGTCCACCGGCCTGCAAAGATCAGCGAGCGGATGTCCAACAGCAGCACGGACATACAAGGTGCTCGCTCCGCCGTTAAAGATTCTTGTGTGAACTCAAAGGGTGGCACGTCAAACAATGATGGCTTTTGTATTTAAAAGTCGTATAAATAACAGCAAACTTTAGATATCTTCGTTGGTGTGCGTGCTCTCGTCTCCACAGAAGCTGCCTGAGCAAATATTTATCTGTGTGACTCCCGCCCCCACATGCCATTATTCATGCTACCTAAGATGTTCTGCAAGAAACTCCCACTACTACAATACAAAGAGTCACATGCTGCCTACTCGTCATGAGTCCAGAATATTGGTGTGACCACATGTGTGTGTGAAAATAACTGAAACTAGTGCCAAGAATATCTGTAAACGGGAAGCTGCCATTCAGCCGTCTTTCGTAGTTTTTATTCTGCTTTGTGTGTGACTGGTTGTCTGTATGTGTTCACGCAGCGGTAAGAAGCCAGACCACTCTGGCAACCTGGGCCTCAAGCAGTCAGGGCAGCCAGGGCGGCATGTGCAGCGACTCGGAGAGTGCCGGAGGCAGCAGCGAGTCCAGGTCCATGGACTCCCCCACTGCCAGTCCAGGTAAGAGGATTTCAGTTGAAATTGATAGACTATGAGAAAAACACAAATACAAGTATTTCTTCTTTATTAGTAACTTCCTATTAGTGACTTTACTTCCTTATTAGTACACTAGTGTCACGCACTACTCATCCGTGAGTGCAGTTCCCTTTGTGACTGAAATGACTTTCAGCCCTGTGAGCTGAAGCTTTGAAACTGTGACATTTTCAACACACAATGTACTACATACTGTATGTCGAGCACTACTGTCTGTTCATGGCTACATATACATAAACAAATATGTGCGCAGGTGTCTTTAAGCGACGGTTGCCGAGGACTCCCTCCACTGGGACCATGTCTTCCGCTGATGACTTGGATGAGAGAGAGCCGCCTTCGGACAATGGTATCGCGTGTGTGTGTGTGTGTGTGTGTGTGTGTGTGTGTGGTGTCTTCATGAACGTGTTGTATATGTCCCCTTCCCTTCAAGCACTTAATTAATAAATTAAAATGAATCTTTGTGTATTGACATTTGAGTGCTGGATAATAAGATCGCACAACTATTTATCTCTCTGTATTTTAAAGAGCAGAATATGACCTTCATATGTCGAGATTTAATATTTTATGAAGTGTGTTTTTATGTTCAATTTTTCCCCCCGCTTTGAACCAACAGGAAGGCAGCATGAAGTCAACTGTTTTTTCTAAGTTCCCTCATCAGCTGCTCTGATTTTCAGGTCTGGCAGAGATGGTGACAGAGACGGCCAGTTCTCCAGGTCCCTTCCGGAATGCTCAGATGTCCAAAGCCGCTCAAACCCATAAGCTGAGGAAACTACGCGCCCCGTCCAAGTGCAGAGAGTGTGACAGTTTGGTGGTTTTCCATGGAGCCGAGTGTGAGGAGGTACAGTGCAAATATTCTTTCTTAAGCGGGAACGTTGGCAATTTCCAACCAGCTTTGTAAACGCGGCTATGCAAATGAATAACGTTCAACCTCCCTGCGCGCTGCCGTAGCCCGGAGTGCACGTACCACCCTAATTGCTACCATACAAAGCCCATTGGGCTTTAGAATTTATAATGGCGTTGTGTGTTTGTTTACAGAGTAGATTAGCGGGACGGGAGGCTTTTTCATGATGCGCTGTCGTGTATAGTAGAAATAATGAATGTATTGTGTTCCCAGTTGACTGCCGTCTTGTTTTTCTCCTGAACCAAAACAAAAAGAGACAAACAGATTTTGAATGTTTTGTTTGTAAAAGAAAAAAAAAGAATCGGCTACTTGCCATTTCTTTATTTAACTGTGTCTGTTTTGTTGCCAGTGTTCCCTGGCCTGCCACAAGAAGTGTCTAGAGACGCTTGCTATCCAGTGTGGCCATAAAAAGCTGCAAGGCAGACTACAGCTGTTTGGGATCGACTTTGCCCAAGCATCAAAGAACAGCCTGGATGGCGTCCCTTTCATCATCAAGAAGTGCACGTCTGAGATTGAGAGTCGAGCCCTCAACATCAAGGTGACCTTTATTTAAGGTTCATGTTGCACCTGGGGTTGTAGTACTTATTAGGCCGTACACTTTAGAGAATTCATTTGAAAAAACATGGTTTGGTTTACTTCTTTGATGCGCCGTGATGTTTTGTTATAGTAAAACTGTACCAATCCGAGTGCCATTTTTTGTCTCCTCGCAGGGGATTTATCGTCTGAATGGGGCTAAATCGCGTGTCGAGAAGCTTTGCCAGGCGTTTGAAAATGGGAAGGACTTGGTCGAGCTGTCGGACCTTTCACCCCATGACATCAGCAACGTCCTCAAACTCTACCTGAGACAGGTGGGTGATACATTCTCACTGAAAGGGAGAGTATTTTATGTTGATGTGACAACGGCTCGGTTTTCTAGTATATTCGTCTTAATTGTAAAATGGCTGGTTGAAACAAAGAAGCCTTGAATGCTTTACGTTTGGGGCGCAGTTGGTAAGCTTGTGGCTTTCATGCCATTTATTTTGTACCTTTTTAAATGAACATTTTATTCAGTAAAATGCCCTTTTGTGTACAGTTACCAGAGCCGTTGATCCTGTATCGATACTACAACGACATCATCGGCTTGGCCAAAGAGTGCTCGAGAGTGATTGTTGAGGAAGCTGACAAACCCCCGAGCGCCCCGCCGGGGGAGAAGGGGGAGGCGAGCATGCAGCTCAACAGGGTCATTTTCAAGATCAGAGACCTTCTCCGCCAGCTGCCTACAGCCAATTACAGGACTCTGCGTTTCCTAATTGCGCACCTACACAGGTAAGGGCTGTAAACCAGCACCCAGAGCTAGTCCATAATATTACTGACTGCAAAAAAACAACAACGTCCTCATGAGAGGGGAAACAGAGACTTCCCTATAACACAGAGGAAGTGGCACAAAGAACATACAACTCATGCTATTCATAGTCACACCAACACCAATATTTATTTCATTTATTTCGCTTAGCCCTTTTATCTATAATCTCATGATTTTTTAGCGTATTTGCTGTTTTTAATTGCATTGACCCTGAAGCTTGTTCAGTGAAACCTGTACTCCCATCTCATTAATGAAACTCATGCTCACTCTTTACTACCGCAGAGTGACGGAGCAGGCCGAGGAGAACAAGATGACTGCGAGTAACCTGGGCATTATCTTTGGCCCCACGCTGGTCAAGCCGCGACAGGCAGACGCTGAGGTGTCCCTTTCGTCCCTGGTCGACTACCCCTACCAGGCCCTGATGGTGGAGTTTCTGGTGCGACACTTTCAGACAGTCTTTGACGTCTCACTTTTGTGCAGCTCTGATAACACCGTCACTGGCCAGGCGTCGCCCAGACTCACCCCCTTGGAGAAGCTGCAGCGGCTCAGCAGACACTCCGCCTCCCTCACGGACTTCAAAGAGGTGGGGAGGGATTTGAGGGTGTGAAAATGCTGCTCTCACGTCGTACCGTTGGAATGTTTAATAAACCGTAATCCAAATGTTTTGTGTCCTTCCAGAGTGCCAAAGTGTTCAAAAGATACTCCTCAGTAATCCCGTCCTCGCACATCATGGATGAGGTCCCGGAGGTGCAGCCGGCAACCAACCCATCAGAGGTCTCTGCCCCGGACAGGCTCAACGGGAAGCAGTCACCAAGCGAAGGAGACGTCCAGAGGTCGACCTTAGTGTTTGGTCGCCCCAGCACCACCGTTCCCTCCACCACCGCTGTGCCGCCCAAGGTCCAGTTACGCACCCAGCGCACCAGGAACGTGTCTCGACCGATCAGCATGCCGCTCGAACGCCTGCCCAACCGCGCCCAGATCAGCGAGAGGAATCAGCGCAACGGTGCCACCAAAGATGAGGCGAGCTCCGCTGAGCGGGACCCGGTCTCTGAAACCATCCAAGAGATACCAGAGCCGGAAAAGGCTCGTCAAAGTGGCTCGTCAAGGGTCAGCACCTACTACATCACCCCTTTCTATGACACACAGACAGTGCAGAGGAAGACGTGGGACAGGAAGTACAAGCACTATGATGTTACACCCAGGACTGCTAAGATTGTGGCCAACCTGCCGTCGGCCACCTCTGGAGTACAACCCGTAAAGGCGACGGTGCCGGTCCCGGTGGCCGCTGCCGCCGTGCCCCCCACCACGTGTGGTGCGAGCACGGTTTTCTCCATCAACCCCTACGCGGCGTCGGTCAAGCCTGGCTGGACTTCTAAAAGGGAAGACGACGCGGACAATTCGGTCGGTAAGTCGAGCAGCTCACCGAACCAAATGTTAACGCTCAGGGCGCCGCGGACTCTGCAGCCTCCCCCTGGGACTTTCTATAAGCCCCCCGTGCCCATTAACCACAGAGCCAGGACGCTTCCAAACTGGACTACAGCCGTTACCACCACCACCACCACCACCACCACCACCTCCACCTCATCGCTCGCCCCCACCCACTCCACCCAGGTGGTCACCCTGTCCTCTGCCCCATCAAGCCCAACACAGACACAGGACCCCACTGGCAGCGTCATGGACGCAGGGGTCTCGACCTTCGCCACCCTTTCTCCCCCGCAGTCCCCTCCCCCCAGCAGCCCCGACGACCTCAGCCCCACCGAGACCAAACCCGTCTACCAAAGACTGCGACCTCGGCAGATGCAGGAGCCGGAGCGCAGAGAGGCCCATTTCGTCTGACGCCAAAAACCATATTATATCTGTAAATAGTAATGTATCTGTGCCATAATGTATACAATGGAAAACATGTTTTTGTTCATACAAACTGAGAGCGGGAGAAATTTTGGCCTGCGAAATGAAACCATAAAAGTGTTACAAGTACTAATATATTGTATTTTACATGTTCAAGTCAAAATGACCACAGTGGTCGGTCTACAAAGCAATCAAAGCAAACGCATGTGGAAGTGTAAAGCAAACATAAAAAACAAACAAATTGATATATTTCTGTAAAGAATGGTCCTGCCAATCATTTTTGTTGTTTTAATTGAACCTATAAGTTCATGTTCAATGTTTGATTTGTTGATTTTATATACAAAATTATATTGAATCACACAATGCACTTAACACAGGTTCAATTTCTAATGTTGCCTTAAATGTTCAAATTTGCTTAATTTTGTATTTTATTTGGAGGTATTTTTAACATGACATTTTCAACTTGAAAGAGTTAAACAGCTTTTTTAATTGGTCCCTTGTTGCCTGTGATTGGTACATCTTTCCTCCGTATCTAAACCGTATGTATCTGTTTACCTTTTTTATACTCATTCATACACACTGCATGTTCGTCAGTTGTTTGGTCTCATCGCGTTATTGCGACTATACAGAAGAAAAATGACAAGCAACAGTTATTGCTGCAAATTAAAACTGTAGTTCCAACTTTTAAATCGGTTAATTGAGTTTTTATTTCATATTTCCATTCAGTGCCTTTGTAGAAGAAGAATTGCATATGTTTATTTACTTTTTGTGTCCCATTTTAAATTGCTGCCTTCTGTGTATTTCAAAAACTTATGCAATTTAATGTCTCTGCATGAGGGGAATCTGAGAACCTCGCTAGGGCTGCAACTTCTATTTATTAGTTTGTGAATCATCGATTCGTGACACAAAATGGCCACTTAATCCATTTTGAGTTTCCTAGAGTCAAAGCAGACAAAATAAAGAAAATCATATTTAAGAATCCTAAAAAACAAATTTTTCATAGAAAAGTCAAATTGGGTTATTTGCCAACAAGTCAACTATTCGTTTCATTCGTTTTCGTCATGTTTGATCAGTGTGTTCTATACAACACTTTTTGTATTTCTGATGCCACGCAGGTTGTAACACACAAAGTAAACCTGCGTCATCTTGTGTATTCCCGCCATGTATCCAGTCAGAATAATATAATTTAATGTACTTGGAATGTTTGTGAAGCTTGCTGTGTCTGTGTCTTTTTGCAAACCCGTATAACAGCAGGTAAGTAGCTTCTAATTCTCCAAACCTGATTACCTTTGTCACCCGTTCAGCCTCGTCGAGGTGCGAGTCATTGCAGACACCAGCGACAGCTTCCCGTACTCGTCTGAGACAAGGTCAAAACACCGATTTGACCCCAAAGAAACTGTGACCCCCCCTCTCACCACTAGTCTTTCTCGCCAACATTATCATTTATTTTCCCTCTCCCAAACAGATCCCCCTAATTCTGCCTCAAAATGGTCGACTGTTGTCTCTTTTTTGTTTTTTTTTCTGCCTGCCCATGTTAGCCGAGGAGATTAGAGCAGATCAGATTAAGAGAGTTGCTGACCTGCAGGCAGGAGAGAGAGAGGGAGAGAGAGAGTGGCCAGCGAGGACAAATGCACAGCTCTTCTACCTGACTTAATGTTCTGCACTACTTCAGCCCCTTTCTGAACCGGTTTCTCTCCATGTCGTACGACTTTTACATCATTCCATAACAGGTAAGAGGGACCGCTTTGTTCTTTTGTTGACAAAATGAGACGTGCTGTAGGATGACGTAGGTCATCGACAGGTATGTGGCTGATAATCGCTGTCTGTCCTCCTGCTGCTCAAACAAAATGTCAAGACGTGACAAAGGTGATCCCGCTGGATGCTCTTCATCTTTTGCTTGCTTTTGTTTGGCTTCTCGTATCATGTTACTTAAACATACAGCAGTTTTTTAAAATGCGGTAAAATCATTTCTCTACTTTTTTTCACGTCATTGTCCTGTAATTACTGTTTTTAGAGATGAGGTGATTTCAGAGAAATCCCACATAATGACAGCCTTCGCCCTTCCTTGTTTTAGTCTCAGTCTTTGTCCTCTTGTTTTTCTAGACAAGTATTTATGTCCCCGCGTCCTCCGTCTGCCAGTCTGGGGTAATCTATTGGACATGTCGCTCTGAGCAAATTACTCTGCGTGTCCGACATTCTCTGAGCTCCTGCGGGTTCACGTGACTGACATCGGAGTTCCTTTTGTTGTCATTGTTCAGTTCCAAAATGAATTTGTCTTTGGGAGTACGCTTGAATGAGAGCCGAGGAACAAATTGGATTCATCCGTCACATACCGACGCATGTTGTTTGTGCCAGTGGTTTGCAGTGTAGAAAACCCTTTTTGTGGACGTGCGTACACAAGATGTCTGCTTTGAAAGAGGCTCCGTCTAAAGGTTGCAGTCAAGACCACCTTAAGTCCAAGTTAATGCAGAGACCAGGTACAGTGATAGTGATTTAACAAAAGATTGACCATTGAAAATGATCTCATATTACAATGTTTCAGGATATTAAGCAAAAGTCAGGTCAAACACAAACGCAAGGCCAGACCCAATAAGTCTGACGGCTCAATGATCTCACCTCCGGCAGATGTTCAGGTGTCTTTTGTGAGCGCCGCTGATGGAGTTGCCTCCCTGCAGGTTCGTCACAGGCTGATGACCCCTTCCCGGGGTGAAGCTGAAGAGCAATGAAGACAGGTGCTCAAATCCGCCTGTTACTGTGGAAAAACTGGACCCTCCGCAAGAGACAGAAGGTATAATCGTTTTTATGACCCTTTGAAACTCTCCAGCATAATGCAACCAGCAGCCATCTACCAACAGGTCGTCTGCGTATGGGTCGGATTTGTTCCGGGGGCCGTTGTGTCCGATTAGATTGTGCCGGTGTTCCAATTTGTCTTTGTGTGCGTTTAGTAACTCCCCCCTTGTTTTGTGTCCAGGTCCGCTTCCTGGTGGAGATCTGCTGGCCAGTGTTGTTATTCATTGGTCTGGTGTGGCTGAGGAAGGCCAATCCACTGTACCAACAGCATGAATGTAAACGGAACAACAACTCTTCAAGCTATCGCCAGTCTGTTTAATGAAGCTAACCGTATTTGTGACGTCTTATTCCTTCAGGTCATTTCCCCAACAAGGCCATGCCTTCAGCCGGGATCCTGCCCTGGATCCAGGGCATCTTCTGCAACGTCAACAACCCCTGCTTCAGATATCCAACCAGAGGAGAGTCCCCAGGCGTCGTCTCCAACTATAATAACTCTGTGTAAGCCTATTCATAGCACCCGCTGTCCTTGAAAACCCTCCACAGCACCGGGGGGGGCTTAGAAAAAAATTAGAGGGTACAGAACGATGACTAATTTGACTAATTCTGTGTGTTTTGGGGGCTGGCTTTAGATTGGCCCGGTTCTACGTCGATGCCCAGGAGCTTCTGCTCAATGAGACGGACGTCCGGCAGCTCGGCCGTCTTTGGCACGATGTGTCGTCCTTCTCAAACTTCATGGAGACGTTACGCAACAACCCATCCGTGGTGTCGGGTAAGGAGGCGACGTGACAAGTGGTTCAGGCAGCAGCACTTTCCTTTAAAGTGAGATGGCTAGTCAAAGGTATTAGTTATTGTTTGCTTGAACAACACTGTAATCAGCAGATGATTTGATTATAGATTTTGAAACCAAATGTGGACATGTGTTCCTTTTTAAAAAGGCAATTTGCTTTTAAAGTTGTTATTAACTCTTAACAACACCCTCTCAAGATACCGTAGCAGCACTTTGAACTTAACCGTTATGTGTTGTTGTTTTCTGCAGTTCCTCTATTTCTTGTCGGAGCACCACATTTGTCCTCCATGTTAAATATCCTCTCCTTGACTTAAAAGTATAATTTCTACATAGCAATTAGCTTTAGTGGACGTAAACATCATGCATTAAAAGGGTTGTTCTTAATATTACTTCAATTCAAGTTAACAGAACATTTTTTGGCAGGGATACGCGTACAAACCTCCATCCTCTTGCTCACTGGATATCCCTGAAACATCCTGAAAATCCCTGCCAATCTTTCTCGCTTTGAATCATTTCCTCTGTGTCGCCCAGTGCCTGTCGGGTCAACGTGGCCTTTAGTGTCTCTAACCTTTTGCCGTCTCTGCTTTTGATGTCCCTCGCAGGCCGTGGTCTGAAGCTGAATGATATTCTGAAGGATGACGAAGTTCTGACTGCCTTCCTTTTGCGAAACGCCGGCCTCTCTGAGTCTATTGTCTACCAGCTCGTCAATGCCGAAATCCGACTAGAAGAGGTGGCGTTTTGGGGGACGAGTGGGAAATGTTTAAGCTTTGGCTGATGTTAAGTCATTCAGCTCGTTTTAAAGCAACACTGAATAACTTTCATATTAAGCGCTAACCAACTCAATGAAATGAGGATTGTTCCATTGTCCACAATAAACCCAGCATTCCCTTTGTTTTTGTGTTTTTCCCAGTTTGCCTCTGGTATTCCAGACCTGCAGCTGAAAGACATCGCCTGCAGCCAGATCCTGCTGGAGCGCTTCATCATCTTCCCCAGTCGCATGGGCCTCCACGGGGTCCGCAACGCCATGTGTGCCCTCACCCAGCAAAAGCTGCAGAAGATAGAGGACGTCCTCTACGCCAACGTGGACTTCTTCAAAATCTTCAAACTGGTGAGCTTTGTGCTTTGAGAAATATTTTTGAAGTCACAGTGAGGTTGATAAATAAACAATAGTGCGTTACCCGTTCATTATTATTACCATAAATATTAATAACCATAAATCCTCCTACATTATTTTGTATTTGTCATTGCACACACTTAAAGTCCTCCCTGTTTTTACTTTATTTGACATGTAGTCATTATCTCCAGTCTGAGATCCTCTGAAGTTTTAAAATTGATATTTTCTGTATACACTATAGTGTGTGTGTTCATACTAATAAATGGAGGTGTCACACAGTGTTTTTTAATAATTTATGGACAACAATCGAGCTCCAAGGCACAGCGCAATATATCTGTCTTTGGATACTCATTGTTGGTTTTGGTCTTTTTAATGGGATTTGTTGACTAAAATATGAAATATTGCAAGACTTGGAAGAGGAAGGAAAAGTCCTATTTCTTTTGACTGTGTCGCCAGATACATTTAAATTCCCCCTCCAACCTTCATAAAACGTATCTCAATGCTCTAGCGAGTTTAGTGAAGTTGATGCTGTGAACAAACGTTCTGGATTGTTCACTTCCTTATGAGCACATACGTGCGTATGTGTCGGTGGCTCATTGTTCTTGGTTGAGCTGCTGGTGATGCCAGGACTGCATGTGAGGCCGAGCGGCTGATTCCAGCTTGCTCGGCCAGATCGGCTCACTCACAAAGTCGATGGCTTCATTTTGGAACTAACTCATACGCTTGGTTTTGCATTCTTTACAAATATATTTACGAAAAGCAAGAAACACAGAGGATGCAATAACATAAAGCTTTTCTGAGTGGAGAAAAAAAAACATTTTTTATTGAATTTATTGGATAAGTATATTTATCCGTACAGAATAGTTAGGAAAAAAAAGGTAGCATTATAAAATGGACACACATCATTAAACTGTACTACGTTGAACTTGTTTCCCCTTCACAGCCTATAATTTCTTCTATATATGTCTGGTGAGTCAGGTTATAGCTCATGGCATTAT